GGACGGGTTCCATCCACGTCCTCACTTCTTGTTTTACCCTGAACATGGGACCAGTCTCATACACAGGGGACTGACTCTCTTCTAAGAATAACGTTATTTTAACTAACACCTATAGGAAAATCTGCAGGAAAACAAGATTTCTTTAGCATTAGAGCTCCCCCATCTCCCATTTGCTTTAACTGCTGCCATATCCCTGAAAACGGGCTTGGACCTGCACGCAGCCCGGGCTGCTTCCTCCTCAAATACCTATTTGAGCCTTCTGAAAAATGTCATTTTTAAACATACAACTTTCCCCGTCATCACTCAGGGGCTTTAACTCTAAACTACATCATCACGGAACCTTCCGGTACCTTCTGCAGCCAACGGAGGGGTGCGGGAGCATGCAAGGAATCTGGAACTGCAAAGGAACAGAAACCTCTCCAAAAATCGCCAAAAAGCACCCAGAACACAGCGCTTTCTGCCGCACAGGTTTCCCACGCGTTGGGTTTTTAGGTGTTCAGGCTTTCTGGAATACAAACGTCGGGAAGAAGGGGAGCCCGGTTAGAAAAGCTGATGTTTCTCTTGAACGAGTCTCAAGAACCGACTTTACCAAATGTCACTTTGATGAGCGCTCATTTGCCCCGTTCCACAGAAAAACACCAAGGTTCCCATTTATTGGCGGAATACTCAACGCCTTCGCCCTCACCTACCGTCTACGGCGCAGAAAACCCGAAATACCGGAACAGCATCCACAGAATCCTCGCACCTTCCCAAAACGCTCTTATTCTGCTCTTTTTGGCGGGCTGTGCGTTCGCACACGCTGCTCACTCGGGTCGCACACACAGAGCGGGTTTTTACAAAACGTTTTATTTGTCCGGAACGTCTTTCGCCTGCTGCCCCTAGAACTTCTGGAACTGCTTCTTGGTGCCGGCCGCCTTGGTGACTTTGAGGACGTTGAAGCGGACGGTCTTGCTGAGGGGGCGGCACTCGCCCACGGTGACGATGTCCCCGATCTGGACGTCCCTGCAAAGACAGCGCGGTGGTTCCGCCTGTGCTGCGGGTGTAGCGGGTTCTGGACACGCCGCCTGACACCGCCGGTGACCCGGTGTGTTTCAATGGTCCCTCCTGCTGATTTTAAAGCCTCAATTGCTGCACGGGTGACAATCTGCTCAAAGAGCAGGGCCCGTCCTCCCCCGGGACTGTCACTCCCTCCTGCTCCTCTTTTCACTGGTGGCCACCGACAGAACTAGAGGAAACGGCCCCAAACTGAAGCACCAAAAGTTCCACAGGAACTTAAGGAAAAATTCCTTCCCAGTGAGGGTGCCAGAGCCCTGGAACAGGCTGCCCAGAGAGGTTGTGGAGTCTCCTTCTCTGGAGATCTTCAAA